AGTTGTGAATTCCGTTCACCTGTTGCCTTGCAGCCTCAGTCCTCTGATAGGCTCAAAAAAAAAAAAGTTTTGATTTTGCAGACTATCTAGCATTTTTTTCCTTTTTGTTTTTGTTAACGTGGGAGCAATATTTCCTTGCAGCTTTCCCTATCCTATATGGAAGCAGAACTCTCGAAACATTATTTAATGATATCAGTCCTTTACCATAAATATCACAAAATTTATGCTAATTTTTTTCTAACTTCTTGAATTGAACAGTTTATTTTCTCTTAATAATAAAAAGTTTAAGGCTAAGAATATTCTTCCAAGTATGGTTTTCCTTATGTCATATGCGCTCTAAGTTTTCTCATTTTCATTATTTTAAAAATACCATATAACTGTAATTTTATGATGCAAGATTTAAGACTCTGTAACTTTAAAATTTAAAAAAAAAGGAGGGAGGGCTAAAAATCTTATCTGAGAGTTTAATATACATAACTGTAAACATCACCCCCACCCCACCCTGAATGTATGACCATTGTGGAAGGGAATAGTTCTAGCACAGGTCTAGATCTTTTGTGTTTTCCAATTGAGCGTCTTCCACCTAGTTTGTGTTCAGACATCTCTTTCTTGCTCATGGTTCCTTATCACCAAGTTTTTATACTATAGTATTTTATACTATAGTATTGTATACTATATTGGTATTTATTTATACCAAGTGATTTATAGTATGCTTTAATAGTCAGTAAGAACAGTCCCACCTCAATATTCTTTTTCCATAATTTCATTAGCTATTTCAGACATTCATTTTTACATGAAAACTTTAAGATCATTTAGTCCAATTAAAAAAAAACCCACGGGGATTAAAATCAGGATTGCATGAAATTTATACATTAATTCTGAAGAAGTTGCGTTTTAATATTAGATCCTCCCATCCACAAACATGCTGTCACTCCATGTTCAGATCTTGTTTGTATACTTAGCAGAACTTTGTAATTTTTTTCATCTAGGTTTGTGCCTCTTGTTAAACTTTAAAGTATTTTGTGGAATGTCATAAGGTGAGTGGAATATTTTTCCTAATTTCCATTTTTACCTAGTGATTGTTCTTATAGATATATATGGATTTTTGAATATGCAACCATTTAGCAAATTTCATCAATTCCAGTAGTTTTTACTAGGATCCCTTGGGTTTCATGAAATGGAAAACCACAAATAGTAGAAAGAATAAATACAATATCCACTTTTTTTACAAAGACGAATAAAAACCAATAAGGTTCCAGGTTGATGTGGATGCTTCTGGCCCAAGGCCCATAGTTTGAATAACAAGGTTCCACACCAGTGGTTCCCAATTTTGCTGCACATTAGAATCACCAGGGAAGCTTGTAAAACTCTAGATGCTTGGAGGTGGGAGCCAGGCATTGATATTTTTTAAACATCCCGAGGTGATTCCAATTTGCAGCAAAGTTGTGAGCCATTGTTCTAGATGAGCAGTTAGCAAACTATGGCCCACAGGTCAAATCCTGTGTTTTTGTAAACGAAGTTTCACTGGATCATAGCCATGCTCATTTGTTTACAAATTGTCTGTTGCTGCTAAAGCAGAACTGAGTAGTTGTGAAAGAGACCATATGGCTCACGGAGCCTAAAATATTTAGTATCTGGCCTTTTTTATAGAAAAAGAAAAAACAAAGAGGGATAAAGTCCCTTTGTCAACTCTCCTGTGCAGACTTTTGCTAGAATTTACTGTTTCTGGAAGGCTCTGCTTTATTGAGAAGGCTACTCCCTTTCACCCCCTGTCCTGCCATGCCCAATATGTTGCTTTTCTAATCCCGTGTGATATCTGAAAAACTCTAATTCCCAGCAAATTATTTCAACAATTATTTACTAAGCTTCTACTATGTGTCAGACACTTGGGATACTTTAGGCAACAAAAAGGACAAAAGGCCATGTCTGCATGGAGCTTTCATCCCAGTGGGTAGGAGGGTGGAGACAGTATAAACAAATTAAATCTGTTAAACATGCACTAAGGTGGATGGTAATGATTTCTATGGAGAAAAATAAAGCAAGGAAGTGCTTGTGAGAAGGTAGCATTTGAGCAATGACCTTAAGGAGGTGACAAAGTGAGCCATGTGGAAATCTGAGGGAGGAACCGCAATCCAGGCAGAAAGAATCGACAAGCACAAAGGTCTTGAGGTGGTGCATGCCTGGTGCACCTGGAAAATGACAGGGAAGCCAGTGTGGCTGGAGCAGAGTGAACAAAGTGGGAGTGTGGGAGGAGATGTGGTCTGAGAGATAACATGTGGCCAGATCGTTTAGGGTCTTGTAGCCATTGTAATGACTTTGGCTTTTACAGAGTGAGATGGGAAACCAGTGGAGGGTTTTGAGTATCCAGTGATGTGATCGCATATATCTTAACAGATTCATTCTGGCTTCGGTGTTGAGAAGAGGCTTTCTCCTATTAGATACCATTTTGATTTAGATATTGTCCTAAAAACTCAATTTACCTACTTATGATCCTGTATCTAATATGCTTAAAACATTGCATTGTTTGGTCAATTCTAACAGTGAATGCATCTTACACAGTTTGGGTTGAATGAGGTGCATTATATTTATCTTCACATGCCTATGTTTTCAGAACAGCGTTTGTATTATTATTGCTTTATTTTTTCCTTATAATTAGCATATATAGCCACACATTAGCAATTTTATGTTCTTTACGTTTAAGTAGGAGATGGGAGGTGGACTTGTATATTTTAATTTTAAACTTAATAACCTAACGTTGAGATCTTTCTCTTAAGGATTTTACTTAAGAATATATCTGAAGTGAAATTTATTTCTCTGAAATTCATACATAACTACAAAGATAAGCTCATACAAATTCAACGAAGAACAAAAAACAAAGGAGACAAACTGGCTCATGAAGAAAACTTCCACGACAGTATGCAAAAGGAAGTTAGGTAAAATTACTTGCAGGTAAGCTTCGTACTGAAAAATATAAGATACCAATTGAAAAACTATTGGTACCAAAAAATATTGTATTATTGCTACAAAATAAATATATAGAAATAAAGTTTCATATATAAAAACTCAGAAGATATAATGGAAGAAAGATCCACTTAACACACCACCAACAAATGACAGAACAACTAGGAAGAAACTCACCTCTGGCTGCACATTAGGATCATCACCTGGAGGGTTATCAGACAAAACAACAAAAGAACAAAACCGTGATCAGGTGCCATCCCTAGAATTTTGATTTGGTTGGTGTGGCATGGGGCATAGGTGGTATTTTTTAAAGGTCCCTACTTTCCGAAAATCTCTATGAAGAAACTCATCTATATGAAGAAAACTTAGAATACTACCGAGAGATATAAAAGAAGACTTGAAGAAAGGGAAAAGTATACTATATCCTTTAGAATAACTGAATATCATAAAGAATTCAATTCTCCCTAAATTAGGCTATAAATTTAATATGATTTCATAAAAAGACTAACAAGATTTTTCATTTTTGGAACTAGACAAATATTCTAAATTTGCATGGAAAAAATAAGCGAGAGTAGCCAGGACAATTCTGAAAAAGAAAACTGTTGCAAAGGGGCTAGTCTGAGCAGATATTGACTACCACATTAATAAACAAAATAGAAATAGTCCAAAACAAAATAAAAAATGTTTGCAAAGGACCCAAATGTAAATGAGACTTTGGTATATGATAAAAAATGGCAATTCAAACCAATAGAGGAAAAGATAATTTATTCAATAAAAGATGTTATATAATGAAGTGGCATTTCTAACCAATGAGACAAATGTTAGTTTACTCAATAAAAGATCAACTGGGTAGCCATCTAAAAAAAACAAACTAAAGTTAGATCTCTAATATGTAATACATTCCAGATGGGTCAAGATCTAAGGGTGAAAAATAAAACTCTAAAAGAAGATAAGTGGGGAAGACTATTCTAAATATGTATGCCAGAAAATCCCAAAGCCACAAAAGCAAAGATTCATAAATTTGATTGCATGAAGATGCCAATTTCTACATGTCAAAAAAACACTAGAACAAAGTTAAAAGATAAATTACAGAAAAGGAAAAAAATTTGCAGCTTCTCTTACAGATAAAGAGCTAATGTGTAAAGCATGCCTGCAATAAAAAAGACCAATACCCAACAGAAAAATAGGCAAAGAAGAGAAATAGGAAAGGTCGCAGTAAAGGAAATTCTAACGGCTATGAAATATATGAAAAGATGATCTACCTTACTCATAAGAAGACAAAAGAAAAAGCAAAATAATAATAAAATATTTTTTATTTATTAGTTTGGCAAAGGATTTGAGTAGATGCATTGCTGGTGAGAGTATAAATTGGTATCACCTCTTTAGGGGTAATTTGGTAGCATAATTTTGCTAGATGTACTCTTGCCCCAGCAATTTCATTTTTAGTAGCGAGGAAAAAAAGAGCAAGATGCAGAACATTATGTATAGTATGCTACCATTTGTGTGTGGGGAAAAGTATATATATAAAGTTTGTTGGAGGATGGCCTGGTCTGTCTCTGAAAGCATACACGGGAAGGTGGTCACAGAAGTTGCCTCCAGGAAGGGGAACTAGGTGGCTGGGGGACTGCAAAAGGAGGGAGACTTCATGCTCACTGTTCATCCTTTAGTAAGTACCTTTCGAAACGTGTACCTCGTGCGTATATTACCTATTTAAAAAAACAGTAATGAAGTCAGCCATATCCAGGGTCTATCTCCCATTAAATACTCCACATACTCCCATCTACTACATCCAAATGGTCTGTGTCCCATCAAATACAAATAACTCATCAAACAGCATCAAATACTCACAAGTAACTATTTTATGGTTCATAAGTAATAAATAATAATGGTTAAAATATTCTGTATTCCATTTTATTCAGAGGAACATAACTTTATGTTACACTCTGCTTCTATCCTTTAATACTTCTGTTGAGTTGTTAGAAGTTGGTAAGAATGAGGTCTTGATAGTAATCATTTTTGAAAATATATAATTCTATAACGTCTTTTAAAATAGAGTACATTCTTTAAAAGTAATTAAAATCAGTAATTAGTAAAATTAACATTTAAAATAGATAACTAATCATGATCTTTTAATATTTTTCTATGTAGCTCTAGAACATTATTTTCTTATTTTTGTTCAAATTTTTTTGGATTAGTGTGTGTTTTAAGCCACTGATTGATTGCGCTTTCGTACTTCCTCGGTTCTTTCTGCCAGTCCTGATGCCACCTCAGGTTTGCTATCACATTTGAATAGTTTTGCCCTACACTTTGTTTCCACTTGATAAACTGCTCTTTATTGTACTGGTGGACAGAAGCAGAAACTTTAGGGTAGTTTATAATGGAACGAAGCTTCTGATCCAAAGAATAAGTAATTTCTGGAAATTTTGTGGCAATATTTGTTAGTTCATCTGGATCTGAGGAAAGATCTGAAAGAGAAAAATGAAATACCTGTCAAAATAGTTACCTGCTAAAAAACCACTTTTTAGAATGTCATTACTCTGTGACAGATAATGTATCAGAATCTATTTTTATTTTCAGTTCCTCTTAGTATAGTAAGATGAAGGACAGTATAAATGGTAAAATAATATACCAAAAGTTAAACACGCCTCTAAATGTATGTTCAGATTATCTTCCTTCCCACCATCCTGTTCTCCCGTTTTCTTTTTTTCCATTCTTAGATGGCAGAAACAGTCAAACCCTTATCACCAGTAAGCTAGCTTAGCCCTAATTCTTCCTGTTTTTGATGCCTTGTTTATTTTGACATGCAGAGAAAAAAAAAGAAATGCTTATATTGTTCCATTTGAACATCCCCAAACTTTCCAGCTGTAAGAATTCTTTATTAGCCAAGTCATGTTCTTGCAACTTCACTTACTCCTAGTTTTTTTTTTTTTTGGTGAGGAAGATTGTCCTGAGCTAACGTCTGTTGTCAATCTTCCTCTTTTTGCTTGAGGAAGATTGTCACTGAGCTAACATCTGTGGCATTCTTCCTCTATTTTGTATGTGGGATGCTGCCACAGTATGGCTTGATGAGTGGTGTGTAGGTCTGCGCCTGGGATCCAAACCTGCGAACTCTGAGCCACCAAAGCAGGGTGTCGGAACTTAACTCCTACACCACCCGGCCGGCCCCCTGATTTTTCTTTATATACTAGCATCTTGTGCTTGGACTTTTGGAAGTTACATTCATCGATACTGTCCATTTGAGCAAATAGCCATGGAAATAAATATTTCTCTCAACCACTACCATTGAGAAAATAATGATAAATATTTCAGATAACATAAACACCCTTTTTACCTACAATGTAGGAAGATACAGGATATAACTAGGATGCGAATCTAACTGGAAAAATAGCAAATCAAAAATCTTATGACAATTTACTTAAGATAGTAAATGAACAATGCATGTTGAGGAAAAAACCTCTACAGGCCTATTTGAGTGCATTAGCAAGAAGACCCCGGAAGACATTTATGATTTTTCTAGGTGACTTCAGATGACATCTCTTTGGGAAAGGAAAGTCAATGAATAAACTCAGAGAACATAGGAAAGGCAGGCTCCTCCAGTGATCCTTTGATAGTGACATCTGCGTTCTACAGAACATGGCCAATGAAAGAGCAAGAGATGCCCATCACTCATCAGGATGAAAATTTAAGGACTTCCTCTTGAAGCCAACAATCTTTTGCTCTTAGAGTTAAAAGAGTCAATCAGTTTGGCCTCTAAAGAATTATTATTTTTATTTTTTGCTGAGGAAGATTAGCCCTGAGCTAACATCTGTGCCAATCTTCCTCCACTTTATACGTGGGACGCTGCCGCAGCATGGCTGACAAGTGGTATAGGTCTGTGCCCAGGATCTGAACCTGTGAACCCGGGCCGTGGAAGTGAAGCATGATCAACTTGATCACTACGCCACAGGGGCGGCCCCTGGCCCCTAAAGAATTATTTTGAGTTAATAATTTTGACAGTTGTAACTGGGAAGGAAACTTAGAGAGAAACGAATATTAACAATGGCTTTAGAACATATTTTATGTGCAAAAAGGGGGCAAAGGATAAGCAAAACCTTAAATCTAATAATGTTGCTTAAAAATGAATTCATAGAGTAGTGAAGCCAGCAGGCATTTTTGTAGAATGGAAGGAGCATGGATTTTGGAGTCAGACCTGGATTGAAATCCCAGGTCTGCCACTTAGCTGTGAGACCTCACGCGGGTATCTGAATCCCTTTGACCCGTAGTCTCCTTCTATGTAAAATGAGGATAATGGTACCATCCTGTGGAGTTGGGGTGAACATTAAATAATATATGGAGAAGGTCAGGCTCCATAAGATATAGGTGTTAATCCTCCAGAACAGCTGAAACCAAGATACAATGAGAGGGTGTTGATTACTGATTGGGAAAGATAACCATGAGTATTAGAAGACATCTTGATTAGAGAAAGCAGTACTCTCAGTCAGGAGACTCAGATCAAAAGTCTTAGGGCACCTGCTCTGAAATTCAGATGCTGATTTGCAAAGAAGCTGCTCCTCACAAGAGCTACCTTCTGTAGATCGTCCCAGCATTAGGAGCAGTAGATATTTATTTATTTAACAGTGATTACTGGATCTCTTGAGCAACGCTATGTAGGTCAGCTCATTACACATAATATTATACTTAAAAAATATATTAACAAATTTACCAAAGAGTTGAGGCGATACTGAAGAGCCGTCAGAGTAGGCTATATACTTCCACTGGTTAGTTCGAAGCATGTAGGTGGAAGCGTTCACATTGCATCCGTGGAATTCACTCAGAATCCAGGGTGGATGCAGGTTTTTGAATTTATGTTCATTCTTCAGTGCTTCTGATGATAATGGCAACAAAGAGTATCCACTCAGGTTCTGAGGCAGAGGAATTCCAGCAATATCTATGTAACACAAAAAAAACCCACGATATTTTTTAATAACTCATTCTTTCGCTAGTTGAATATTCATAAATGACATCATTAAAGGTCACAGAGACTAGAGATTGTATATGGACTTTGTAAATAGACTGTCTAGTTCCAAATGCTTATTCCTCTAGCCATGTGACCTTGGGCATGTTTTTAACAACTCTGAACCTCACTTTCCTCATCTGTAAAAGGGGAATAATAATAATGCCTGTATTTTATAGGTTTAAATATGATAATTTATGTAAAATGCTGAGAACAGTGCCTGGCACAGAGGAAGCCCTCAACAAATATTAGTTAATATCATCAGTCCTTTATTTTTGAATGATTAAATAATCATAGTTGTTTCTCAAATTTGTTCCAGGAGATATTAATAAGACTATACAAAAAAGAGGTTTAGTAGTCATGTATATGTTTGCAAACAATGTTTAAAATTAAATAGGTAAATTTATCATAGATGTAAATTTATTGCTGAAGTGTATCATAAACCTTCAAGGGTGGTATATAGTATGCCATGTGTCTTCAAGTTATTTGATGACAGAACATTTTTTTTACCCCCAAGTAGCATCTTGAAGGACTAGCATTTTGCAGAATATACCTTGGGAAATCCTGGATTATAATGATTTAGGGAAAAATAATTTTTTTTCCTTATCAAATACAGAAATATAGAACAATAGCATGAGAAATGTCCAACTTAAAAACAGGTTGTATTTTAAAAAATTGTTTTTAAGGTATTTGTTTAGAACTCAAACTGTATTCTTCCCATAGAAAAATTACCACTAATTATGGCTGGGTCCTCAGGATAGTTCCAAAATGAGTCTGCAGTTGCCTCCCCCACCCCTTTTCTGGTTTCAATGTTCCATCTTTTTAGGTATAATGAAATATTTCCAATGAAAAATAGAAAGTAATATATCTGTAATGCTAGAAATTAAACAAAATTGAATAAGAAAATTAACTTGACTCTAAGTATTTGAGGAAAAACATGTTAACTAAAGGAGAATAAGGAAAAGACAAAGACCTCTATAAATCTTCTGAAAGTACTTGTTTTACATATAATTTGATTTAGACATTTGTATCTTCCATTTTCCTTGGAAGGGTCGTATTACAATTATTAATCTGCCAACCAGTCATAATCAGGGAATTTTGATGCAGAAAGAAAGAAAAGCAGAAAGAAAGAAGAGAGAAATATTTCAGAGATAACCAGTTGAAAACAAAAAGAAAAGAAGGAGAGAAGACTATAAAGAGGATGTGTATGATAGAAAGGGACTACCCAAGATGGAACTAATGAGCTACAAGACAGCAGGCTAGTAAGGTCTCTTGGGAGGACACAAAGTGGCGAGGGAATGGGCTGGTCAGGCTGGTCTGTGTGTCAGCCACCAGGTGGCACCACTCGTGAGGCACAAGAGGGAGAGAAGAGGCCTCTGAGGATGGCTGGGAAGCAGGGACCCAGCAGCATATACTCATGACTGTGGGAAGTTCCTGTATTCAGCATTTTAATAACCTTTAATACTTAAAAATACCTTATTTCAGATCTAGTCTTAGCCTAATTTTCCTAAAGAGGCTTGGAAGACTAAGAAAATTTACGTGATTCCCCTGTGTTTATATGAGAATTCAGTAGTAAACTGGGATAAGAGTCCATTTAAGTATTTATTTTTTTAAATCATTCAACAAACCAGGTGCTGTTCCAGGTGTAGGGAAACAACAGTGGACAAAGCCGCTAAGCTCTCTTAGAGCTTACGTTCTGATGTGGGGAGAGAGACAAGCCAATATGTCAGATGGTGATCGGTGCGGTGAAGAAAAATAAAGCAGGAAAAGGGAGATGGTGCTGGCAGGAATGTGTTCATGTGCTGTTTTATACAGTGTGCTCAGGGAAGGCCTCTCTGATGAGGTGACATCTAAACAGAGCCCTGAGGAAGGGCTAGAGCGAGCCCTCTAGATATCTGCGGGAAGGAAGGGCATTCTGCCAGGGAATAGCAAGTGGAAAGACCCCGAGGCAAGAAGCTGCTTGGTTCCTTCCCCAGACACCAAGGAGTCCTGTATGGCTGGAGCAGGGTAGGTGAGGGCTAAAAGTGTAAAAGATAAGTTGGGAGGGGAGGAAATCATGTTGGACTCTCAGGCTCAGCTAAAGATTTTGGATTTCACTCCAAGTGAAATGGGAAACCAGTAGAGGATTTTGAGCAGAGGCGTGACATGGTCTGACGCTAACTACTATATGGTGAATTGACTAAAAGTGGGTAGGACAGAAGGTGGGAGTTAGGAAGCTATTGCAGGAGTCCAGGCAAGAGGTAATGGTGACCTGTTTCCAGTCTATTATTGGTAGAATAATATACCTTTGTAAACTGATGTTGATGAATAAAACCCATGTCAAATATCCAGAGTATTTAATAAATACTTCAGGTATTTATTAGTTTTTCTGTACCTCAGGAAACTGGGTACTCATTTCTCATATATTTATCAGTGATTTCCTTAAAAGCCCTTTAGCTTTAACGGCTTTTCAAAGAGCTCTTTGAACTTTGTTTAAAATCATTTTTCATATTTTTTCCTCTGGCAAATCTGTCATTCTAATCCCATTTAAAGTTAAGTTTTATCTCTCTTTGCAGTATAAGCAAAGATTGGAAGTAACTGCAGGATTCTTAATAAAGACTGACTTAAATTTAAAACAGTAAACAAATGGGTAAAAATGCAGACCTGGATCTGTGTGATGGTCTCCCGAAGAGAGATAACATTATATTTCTTCCTGACCATATCAGAAGCTAAGGGGTTAGACTGGATGGCAATGATGCAAACTATGTACATTTTTTAGGGCAAACCTAAGAAGAGTATTATCAGTATTAATGATAATATTATCAATATTAACATTATATTATCAACATTAATATTGATAACATTAATATTATCAATATTAATGATAATAACTAACAGTCAAATGTTTACCATATTCTGGGCATCGTTCTAAGCTATGGAATAGCCTCTATTATTTCCATTTTATTGATAAGAAAGTTGAAGACCAGAGAGGTTACATAACTTGCCCAAGGCCCTACAGTTGGTAAATACTGAAGGAGGGATCTGGACTTAGGCAGTCAGACTCCAGGATCTCTGCACTCTTCGATACTCCCCCACAAGTCTTACTTTACTGTAGTTATTCAACTTCACAATATTTTTCAGCCGATAAAAACAAAATAGTCTATGCAGAATGCCCCTCCCAACTTTCCACTAAGATCCTGGAACAAGGAGGATTTTGCAATTTAAATCACTAGCAATTATGCATTCTTTTAAACACAATTGCATTTTTATATAATTACATTTTCACAATTCAAAAAAATCTGGATTTCTCTTTTAAGTGAGAGGAAGGCAGGTGTTTTACAAAATAGATCAACTATTAAAAGAAAAAAATTCACGTGAAAATAAGTTTAAAAGAGAAAATAAAAATTTTAATTTTAAAATGAGACTACCTTTATTACTAACTGAGCTAAAGGATGCTGATATTAGGTTATCAGAGAAGAAAATATTTCGAGGAGTAATTTTTAAAGAATAATCTCTGAAATAATGGTATCAGCTTTAATAGTACAAAAAATTCCTATTCATAAAAATGGCACTTTTCTGCCAGTATTAGAAAACGATAAAGAGATAATATACAATAAAGCAGCTACAAGCATAAATAGACTAAGAAGAACACTCTTCCTACTCTATCACATAATATAATTTTATAGAAAAGAAAGTACTGGGCCGGCCCTGTGGCTTAGCGGTTAAGTGCGTGCGCTCTGCTGCTGGCGGCCCGGGTTCGGATCCTGGGCATGCACCGACCCACCGCTTCTCTGGCCATGCTGAGGCCGCGTCCCACTAGAAGGATGTGCAGCTATGACATACAACTATCTACTGGCGCTTTGGGGGGAAAAATAAAAAAATTAAAAATTAAAAAAAAAAAAGAGTCATATTCAAAAAAAAAAAAGAAAAGAAAGTACTTTTTTGAAATACCTTTAAAAAACTACTTGTAAATTCAGACTTTTTAATAAAAGCATTGTAGCATCTTAAATTTTCAATAGACTCTTTATAGTGAAGTAGGTTTATTAAAACAGGAATCCCTATTAGTTTTTCCTATTCAATATCTTTCTATTTACAGTTTTTTGAATCACCATCTTTTATATGATATTTCTAAGGTCCATAGGAAGGAAGGGAAGAGGAAGTCTGGTTTGAGGCTTTGATCTGAGAAATTTAATCCCATACTCTGTGTGTAAATTGGATTTATACAAAATAATAGAGCTACAGCTAAGCTAATAGAAAAAGGACCTTTAGAATTCTAATAGATTACACTTTATATCTATTTTAAGCTCCTAATTGGTTAGAAGAATCACAAAATAAGAAGTCCTTTGTGGATACTTTATCAAAAGCTGTATAAGTTTATTTATTAAGAAGAGGTGAAACAGAACATACTGTCGCACACGTCTAATTTTAGACTTAATCCCTACTAGAGTAGCTTTAAACTCTTCCAGCACTGAGCAATTGCATTTTAAACGGTTGTATTAAACATCAGATTAAACATGGACCATCAGAATAATCTTTGCCTTGTTGGCTGGTAAGGCTGTTCACCGAGGCAACAGACTCAGTTTGTGCCCGTCAATCCTGGTGTAATAGTTAATAGTACCCTTTTACTCTAAAAAAATGTGCTGATTTGGACAATAAATTAGATAGACCCCCTGTCTCAATAAATGAGCAAAAACCAAAACAATAAAACAAACCTGTTTATTCAGTTTTAAAGCCTACATTTTCTTTTTAATAATACATGGGGGCCATTTTCACACTGCATTTCACCTTTTAAAATAAAATTGACTGTTTTTTACCCAATCCATTACTACTAGACATTCACACTGTTTCTAATTCTTTAATATAATATAATACTATAATAAATATCCATGGAGATAAATCTGTGTATTCTTTAAGTTTTTCCCTAAAATTGGAATTTCTAGGTCAAAAAGTATGCACATTTCTAAGAAATTTGGAACATAATGCCACATTTGCTTCTGGAAAATTGGTGCCAGTTTATACTCCCAGCAGCAGTATATCAGAAGTCCTATTTCTAATACAAGATTTTCTAATTCTTGTTAATCCTTGCAAACTCTGCATGTGAAAGAAAAATAAATGGTATCTTCTCGTTTGAATATTTTTCTGACTACTGAGTTTGAACCTTTAAAAATACCTTGGCCATTTGTGTATCTTCTGTTGTGAATTGCTTGTTTATATCTTTCTGTTAATTTGTTAACAGGGTATTTCTCTTTTTCTTATACATTTGTAAGAGCTTTTTGAATATTAACCTTGTATCATTTATAAAAAGTTAATTGTAGATAAATAATAATGTTACAATGTTGTTTCCTGGCTCCAACATGAGGTTCTTGTGGTAGCCCCTTGCATCTTTCTCTTTCTACCTTATCTCTAGTTAACATCTGGTTAATAAAATGTTTCACTGTTTTGTATAAAGACCCATGCACAGATATTCTCTCTACTCCCCCTTCCCCCCCAAAAAATTATAAAAATGCAACTTGCCCCCTTTGATAATAAAAATATTCATTATGAAACACATTAAAAACTGTGCTAAGGGACTGGCCCGGTGGTGTAGTGGTTAAGTTTGCACGCTCCACTTCAGCAGCCCAGGGTTCTTGGGTTCGGATCCCGGGTGCGGACCTATGCACCACTTATCAAGCCATGCTGTGGCAGGCATCCCACATATAAAGTAGAGGAAGATGGGCACAGATGTTAGCCCAGGGCCAATCTTCCTCAGCAAAAAGAGGAGGATTGGCAATGGATGTTAGCTCAGGGCTAACATTCCTCACCAAAAAAAACAAAAAAAAACAACAAAAAAAAACTGTGCTAAGCCTTGAAGATGGTAATTTCCTGTTTAGAACTGGAGAGACACTGATTTTTGGCTTTACTTCCTTTACCTTAGTTGGGCAGGTCTAATCAACACATGATCTCAATGCTGTTAATAAAATACATCCTGCAGGGAAATGCGACTCAGAAGGAGTCTATTACCAAGAATCAATGAAAGATAAATAAAAATCTATGTAGAACTATGAATTTTATTTTTTTTTTTAAAGATTTTATTTATTTTATTTTTCCCCCCAAAGCCCCAGTGGATAGTTGTATGTCGTAGCTGCACATCCTTCTAGTTGCTGTATGCGGGACTCGGCCTCAGGATGAACAGAGAAGTGGTGCCTCGATGCGCACCCGGGATCCGAACCCGGGCCACCAGCATCGCAGCGCGCGCACTTAACCACCAAGCCACAGGGCCGGCCCAACTATGAATTTTAGAAAACCGTAATAATTGACAAATTGCAGAAAAAAACCTGCAATTGCAGAGAACCTACATCATTTCCAGAAGTGTGGGGAAGCAATGCAAAGGAGTCTCTGGGAATGTTCTGTCTTGGTTAAAGAAATGCTTATTGTCAAGTAGCATAAAGTAGGCAGGGATAGGCAGGTGTTCCTCTAGGTGGATAAATGAAAATTCCCTCATTCCAACCAACTTCATTTGATATTTTCTTATATAATCTGTTAGATAAATACATTATGAAATCTTCCAGTTTGCTGATGACTTTTAACTTTTATGATGTATGAAATGGCAAGTAGTGATAATAGTGTATCAAGATTATAGAGTAGAAAATTTGCATCGTAGGCAAATATAAAACAACAGTTAAAGAAAAATGATTTAAACAATGCATATAAATCGACTAACATACATGGTGATAGAATGACTAGGAATAGACTAGGCCTCACTGCAGACAGCTCCCTACAGACACTGGACTATTTAGCTGCTAGAGTCAAAAAGACAAACAAAACTCCAGATATCACTGTGAAATATATTGATGGAAAACTGAGAAAGAATCACTCCAACCTTTCATAATCTTTTGCAGTTCTGGTAACTGTACCTCAAGAAAACAGAACAAGGCTAAAAATTTAAGGAAATTTGGAAATGGGGTAGGGAAAGTTCTACGTGAGGAAAAACTAGGGGAGAAAACTAAAGAAATGCCACCATAAAGAAGCATATATACATAAAACTATGAAGGTGATAATAAGATAGTTACAAATAATCATAATTGCACATACATTTTTTTCTTTTTTTTTTTTTTGCAGGGAAACATTCACCCTGAGCTAACATCTGTTGCCAATTGTCTTCTTTTTTTTCCCTCCCCAAAGCCCCAGTGCATGGTTGTATATCCTAGTTGTAAGTCCTTCTAGTTCTTTTATGTGAGCCACCACCACAGCATGGCAACTGACAGACGGGTGGTGTGGTTCTGCAACCAGGAAACGAACCCAGGCAGCACTGCTGCAGCAGTGAGAGCACTGAACTTTAACCGCTAGGCCATCAGGACTGGCTCCATACATTTCTTATAAAAACAGAAATGAGGAAAAGTAACAAGGATTGCCTGGAAGTTATGGAGCCAGAAGGTGGCAGAGGTATGGCTAAGTGCGATAATTACTTTGGGATAAAGGGGAACCAGTAAGTGATGACTAAGAAACTGAAGAGGTTAAAAATATACATCAGGCAAAAGAACAACAAAGAATTGTGTTCAAATATACAAGAAGTGATGTGAAATAAAAGAGAAAAGGAAAAGGTACTGATATAAATTAACTGTAAAGAAATTTAAGACCCTAGAATAGTCTTGAGTTAAATGAAGGGAAAGACGGTGTAGCTGAAAGGAGACAAAAAGAGCTTCCTTATTTCTTTGATTTTCAGATACGTTTGCTTTCACATTTTAATATGAAAGCATATTAAATGTTAATACATATTAAGCATTTAATATGTTAATACATATTAAACATATATATCTTATATTGTATCTTTTTTTTTTTTTACCAAAATCTATTTATAAATTCATGGTACTTTTTGCAATTGATGGTGGCTTAGAACAGAGGAATTACAGTATTTAAATGTTATTGAATTTAAAGTACTCTTTTAACTTAGATAGAAACTAACAGTTCTATATAGTTTCCTCTAAATTTGATGATGGCACTGTTCTAGTATCTTCAACAACCCCTATCCAAATGTTGCTGTTCTAGGCCTATTGTTATGCTTATAGACATTAAGAAGCTAGTGAAGCAAATAGTACAGAATAATCTAAAGATTCTGAGGAGAAATATGTTTATAGCATCAAATTAAGAGACTTTTCTGACACTGTACAAAATTAGTAGTTTGAAAGTGGATGGAATAATCCAGAAGGGAAATGCTTACATTTTAGGGAGGTGGTGGTAGAGAATCAAATTATATACAAATCATATCTATAAAGTTACGAACCTGAATATCTTTTGTGGCTTACTTTATAATCATATCCTGACTGAATCTTTTGAAGGAAAAATCACTATACTAAGTGAAGGCCAAAGGAACCCGAGGAATATTATCTTCATTTTTCAGATATGGATTTGACTCACAGTTAAATGAGTTGCTCAAGGTTATAAACAAGTCAGCAGGGCCTCTGACTACTTTGCTTATTCATTCCCCAGCATTATTAGAAATATTTACAGAATTGCCTCACTTACCAAGCATGGTAGGGTAAATATCCACAAGAGAAACCACATTTGATACTTGTAGGTTGGCCTTAATTCCTGGTCCCATTATCAAGAGTGGAACGTGGGCACTAGCTTCGTACATACTCATTTTATAAAACTGACGATGTTCCATGGCAAGCTCTCCGTGGTCTGAGGTGTATATGACAATAGTTTTCTGAAGAAGACCTAACTGACGAAGAGCCAAAATAATTTCACCTATAATACAAATCAAGATAAATCTTAATTATCTTTCAATTTATGTTTTATTCTATCACAATAAGTTTATAACAACTCTATAAGAATTTGTAAGGATGCTTCTTAACATGTTCATGTTACCTTAAGTTATACCAAGTTTCATGTGCCTGCCCCTCAGTTGATAGACTAGAGAGAGGAAGGAGAAAATATAATACTCATGGGATAAGTTTCTTTATTTGGAGATCATGCTGGCTTGCTTTCTGTTTCTATCAGAGAATGGGGGAAAACAAGTTCCTCTTAGTGACTCGAATGAAAAAAAGAAAGACGAGTCTGGATATCAGTACTATACGTGTCTCAGATGATAAAACAACTGATATCACCACCGACCCACAATTTCTGCCCAATGAGAAGTGAAAAGAGGGGTCAGAACACCTCCACCCTGCCACCCTTTCCCCCAAATCCTCAATTGCCAGATCACGCCCATGAAGTTGGCTGAGGGTTATGGAAATCCCACCTTTGAAGAAGAGCTGGAAGCAGTACACACGGTATACAAATGTGATTTAGCATATTCTTGGATAGGGAATAACTGGACAGTAAACTTCCTCTGACCAGTCCCTGTCTCTTAGTGTCCTGAAACTTCCTCCTCATGCAATTAAGAGAAACACAGTAAGGCGCAGTCCAGAGAGGTCATCTCTATTTTGGCAGTTCCTGAATCTGGCCTGCAGGGGTCTGTATTATTAAGAAAAATCCACAGGTGATTCAGAGGTCCAGTCAGAACTGAGACCCACTGCTCTATGGAGTTATTTACGGAGTTCAGACCATCTGGATCTTTCAACTGGACAGCTGTAATTGCTTCCTAATTGGTCTTCTTGTCTCCACTCCTCCTTCCCCTCCACAATATCCCTTGTACCACTCTGGTGGCTATCTTTCTAAAATATCTGATCATGTTACACCCCAGCTTAAAATTTTTTCACATCTTCCCATTGTCTAATTCTTTAGCAAGCTCAGCACCCTCAGCTACCCCTAGACCTTTACTTTCACAATCCTAAACTGCCTAGAATTCCCTGACCTAATAATTAGTTTAGACTTTCTTGCCTCTGTACATACTCTGCCTTCTGTGTTGAATGCCCTTTCTCCCAACATTTACTTGGCAAATTCCCATTCTTCCTTTATGACCCAGCTCGAGCATTACGTCCCTGGTGAAGCATTCCCTGCTCCTCCAGGTAGAGTGAATCCAAGGAATTTCTGTCCTCCAAGACCCCTACGACTTGTATACTACTGTAGTTACAACAACATGTTATAATTGCTGGTGTTTACACTCATTCAGTAAATGTTTACTGAGTTCTTACTATGTGCTAGGCACTGTGGATGCAAAGCTGGGCACCTAGCATGCAATGTTGAGTAAGATGGAAGGCCCTGCCCTCATGGAGCTCACATTCTTCAAGGGAAATGGACAGAAAACAAGTAAATAGACTAAATAACTAAAGATTATGATGTAAAACAAACAAGAAGATAAGGTATGGAGTAAGTAGGATGATGGGGCTGGCATACTAACTTACATTGGTTGGGAAGACATCTTTGAGGTGGTAATTGAGCTGAGAGCTAAAAACTGAGACTAGCCAGCCATGTAAAAAGCAAAGGGACGGGCATCCCAGGCAGAGGGAGCAGTGAATATAAAGGCCCTGAGGTGGGGTAAGAGCTTCCAGTGCTTTTAATTAATGTGTCATATCTTAACAATACTCAACTGAGTACCACCAGTGCCTGACATAGTGCCTGATAGCTAGCAGGCACTCAGTGTTTGTTGAACAAACACACTGAACAGCAGCAAGTATTATATGGTGACCAGACCAGTTGTAGATTTAACAACAAGATACAATATATTCCATAAACTTTGTAATATATTCCATAAACTTTGTAATATATTCCATAAACTTTGTAACTTTAAGTGAGCTGCTGTATTTTTTTTTTTCCTGAAGAGACTTCAGGAGTAGTATTCCCACACTCCCTGCAGCAACATTATATACTATTTCACTTTAGTAGATATGGATAAATGCATAGGTGCAAACTTTCAAAAGTGATTTTGAGGGTGCAAATGGGTGAATATCACTAACATCAGAAAATATCGAAATACAATTCAACATTCGTGTGGACGTAGATTAAGCAAACTTACTTAAAATCTTATTTGCATTGAAGATTAAGTAGTTGGACAGTCCTTGAAAATCTTTTAATACATATATTTGCTATTTTATAAATAATTTATCCACAGGGCTTTTTTGCTTTCTGCTTTATATTTTTCTATTTTTGCCCAATGAATGCTTTTTAAGAAATAGCCATTCGCTTGTTTACTCCCAAGGTTTACTTTGTATAGAAGGGGTGCTACCCACACTTCACTAATGCAATTATGCTCCACTCCAAAGTGCAGCAAAATACCTGATATGGTGTTATGAAAATAACTTGTTATAAAAATTGGTATATTTTCTTAAACCAATGTTTCTCTCCATCTGAAGTGGAAACTGCCATAACTCTACAAGTGAGCAGGCAAAACACTTCCCTGACAATCATCTTATGGAGGCAGGTTTGGTTTTGAGTTGAATTAGGGAAGGAAATTCACTATGAGTCTGGACCAGAATATACATGGGGAAACTGATCTCAGCTTTAGTTAAGCCTTGCTCTAGAGGGCCTAGGGAGAATGGATTTGTTTTGCAGTTATTACAAGTCTGGGAGAAGTCACGAGATTCTACACTCAACTGTCTCCTCTACTTGAACCTCAGCTGCCTTACAGTTACCTGTCACACATGTACCTGTGTTTGGCTGAATACTGATTCCTGATTAAAGCCGGTTAAAAGTTTTGTTTCAAGCAGATGATAGCCTTCTATGACCTCTTCTTTATGTATGAACAAATCTAAGCATTTATTAATTTATGAATAATTTGGATTGAGAGGCTTTTATTCTACTATTAATAATGCAAATTATCTAATTTTTATATGTGTCAAGAGTCTTATAATCCTAAATCTGAAGTATCTAAGCAATTGTTATAAGAAATTATCTCAGGATATTCATACAAGTCACCAAAAAGCATGATCACAGTTGGTTGAAAAAATATTATGCTTTTTCTTCATATAATAGCTTATTAATTACACCACCTACCAAGCATGGCATCTGTCTCAGCACACATAGCATAATAAAATGCTCTAACATTTTTAATTTCTTTTTCTGTAAACTTCCCAGTGCAGTTTTTTGTATAAGAAGAGTAATAATCTATAGGGTGCATTTCTGACAGAGGCGACCACTTTGGGATTTTGATGGCATCATAAGACACCTGAAAAGGGGAGAAAAACAAAGTAGTAATATTCCTCTTTTCCAACAAGTATGTATGGTAAACTAGACAACATTTAATTATTTATGCCAGTAGAAAAGAATGGTCATAAATTATGTAAATAAAATAGTAAATCAAATACATAAATTAGGAACAAATTGTTAATTTTCCAGCAACAACAAAAGGTTTATATCAATATCTGTTTATATAGTGAGACAGTTATGAAAATTATTTAAAAAATTATACATGTCAATGGAAAACATGAGCTGTATTAGATAGTATTCTAGTCCAGAAAAAGTGTCCAAGCACTTTAAACATAGTTGTGTGATCAATTCAGATTTCAGAATCAACAACCTAAGAATCTAGACTCCTTTTTCCCAATAGTCCACTAGTAAAAATATCAGTATCTAGTGAGATAGCCAAATGTTTGTTAAAAACAAATACAACTTTTTAATACATATAAATGCTTACAGTTTTGGTGAAAACAATTAAGACTAAAGTCTTATATATCTTTTAGTCATGTAACTTTAAAAAATTCAAATATCTACTTATTATTTTACTTAAAAGTTATTTGACTTATTTCATTAGGCTAGTACTAACTCCAGACACATTTTTCAAGATGGAGCCAGTTAGAACCCTTTAAGAAGACATGAAGTATCTGAAACTTTGACATTATTTCCTTTAAAATAGGGTGCACTAAATAGTGTTTCTGATTAGAGTTTTTAAAGTAACTTAAATTTGATTAAAGATGATGTTTCAAAACACAGGCAGTCCTCTCTTTGCATGGTTCAGATATGCACAGATTTCAGTTACCGCAGTTCAGGTAAATAACACCAGTCCCCCAACAGAGTTCAAATTTTAGTTACCAAGGTATATTAACTGTGAGTTATTGCATAAAGTACAAACTATCACATTCATAACCTGCTAGCTCTTTAGTCTACAAACCACTACATAAATTACAGATGTGTCTCGTAATCAGTGACTAATCAGGTCATTTACTTCAAAGTCTCTCAGTGGTTAGTCACTGCACATCTTTCATTCAGTATACACACAGACAGCAAAGTGTGTAATTGTGCAGCCTCCTTGTCTCCCAGTGATAATTCCATGTGACGTTTTATAAAAATGGATAATCAAAAGAGGGAACTGGTGAACAAAGATGAATGTACAGTAAAGAAATAAAAAGTGGTAACAGTGGAAGTGAAATCTGAATAAAATGTAAATGGAGTTATAGAGGAAACAGCTGCCTGAGAATGCTGACACTGCTACCATTTGAGACATTCTAGATATACAACCAGAGGACTCATTGATCTAAAGGAGGAAGGTCATTGCAAAGAAAAGGATAAACTTGTCCTAGAGGAAGGGATACTGGCAAAAATCTTCACATTAAAGGAACTCTCAGAAATACATCATGATGTTAAAAGTGCAAAGGTTAAAATGTTGGAAGGTTATCCAAATTTAGAAAGGCATATGACAATTTGCCAAGACATACAGAAGACACTTGCTCGGTAGCTTAGGTTATACAGTGAGAAGGCAAGCACTGTGCAAACTACTCTTGCTACATTTTGTTACAAAAAAACCAAAGCACTTTAGTTCTCAATGTCTCTAGTGTTTTCAGTTACAGTGCATTCAATAAATACTAGTTTTACTATTTTTTCACTTCCCTATACATTTATAACCCAAAATAAGAGAGTTTTAAATGTTTTGACAAAAGTTTTTAAGAGTCCTAGAAACATGGTCATTTCCCCAAACTGATTATTAAGATCTCTTTGTACAGTTTCAGCTGGCATGGTCATTTTTACCATCCTGAACTGTGCAAAGTGAACACTGCCTGCACTCCTAAGAGAGTGTCTTTCAGTTTGTCTTCTTATAGACATATTATATGAAAATGTATTCAATTCAGAAGTAGTTTTCTAAGTTTTAATATATTTTATTTCTGTAAAATTGCCTGTTTAGTTTTTGTCAACCAGTTATTGGTCAAGTTTGATTTAATGAGAATATACAGTTTTCAAAGTTTTCTTTAAAAGTGATAATAAAAGAAACAGTGAGTAAATACCAGTAATATACAGATATCATGTTAACTTCTACTTTTGAGTGCATATAGTGTACTTACTTTTTTAAGCCAATAAAGAGATGTGCGAAATATTGAAGCTCCAAAATTTTCTCCTGAAGATGGTGAAGGATAAGGGTGTGGTAAATTTAATCCCAAGTACAGAACAAATGGTTGAGTGTAATTAGTCGCTTCCTTTCTTAACCAATTTACTGCTCTGTCTGTATTCCTCCAGTCCTTTTCCATAACTCTTACTTTCGTCTTTTTAGGGAAAAGATTAACCATAGGCCTGCCTTCTTGTCTGAGTAAGAAAGCAACATCTCTTGTCCATGCTTCCACGCGATTGCTGAGGGGGCAAAAAGACAGGTATATTGTATGGTATTTAAAAAGTTTTAGAAATTGACTAAGCATAAACATAAGAAAGCAATATGGAAAACAATGTTTAGACTCAGTCACGTAAATGTTCTGACTAACTATGTAACCTTGGGCCCTCCAGGACCAGTTCAACTGACCCCATCTCTTATCAACAGAGTGATTAATTGCCTTTCAGAAAATCTGCAAAGTCATGTAGCCAGAGCATGTGCAAAAGAAGTCTTGACCTGAAACGACCGTGCAACCAGAGATCCTCCTTCCCACGGAACCCAAGACTGGGACACAATCGGAACTTGCAAGTCCAACTTTTATCAGAAGCAAAGGGTCCCTCATTCAGGAAGATCCAATGTTAAAATTCCTTCCCCACCTCATCAAAAATGTTTAGAACCCCATCATAAAAGTTCAGAACCTTGGGGCCAGCCCGGTGGCGCAAGTGGTAAAGCGCATGCGCTGCGGCGGCCCGGGGTTCGCCGGTTCGGATCCCTGGCACGCACGGACGCACTGCTTGGCAAGCTATGCTGTGGCGGTGACCCATATAAAGTGGAGGAAGATGGGCACGTATGTTAGCCCAGGGCCAGTCTTCCTCAGCAAAAATAAAAAAAGAGGAGGATTGGCAGGTGTTAGCACAGGGCTGAACTCCTCACACACACACAAAAAAAGTTCAGAACCTCATCATAAATGTTTAGAACCCTGTCACAAATGTTTAAAAGCTTACCAGAAATGCTTGAAGTCCACCAATCAAAACCTGTCCTGCCAGTGTTTCCATGTGCCAGCCTGTTCTCCCTAACCTCTTAAATTTTGCCCCAAATCCTGAATCCGGGAGACAGATCTGAGGGCACACGCTTCCTGTTCTCCCAGCAGATCGATCTTGCAGAATAAAGCTGATCTCTTTTCCAGAAGGCTGATGCCATAATTAATTGGCTGTTTATGTGCATCCGGCAAGAAAACCCCAATTTTGTGCAGTAACAACGACACTAGATCTCATTAAGAAAAGTTACTGAGCACTGAAAATTCAAAAACCAGGAAAAAAATAACAAAAATCAAATAATCACTAATGTGTTCTTTAAAACTATGATAGATTATTTAGAAAGGTTACTTTTTCTTATAACAAGACATTTAGTAAAATAAAAAATGTTTTGGATTCCTAGTATCTCTCCTGAATTTTCTAGCATTTTGTCTTTTTTGTCAGAAGAAAACAGTATTTCTAACCAAAGCTACTATAATTTCCTCCTATAACTAATCTTTATATTTTTAAAATCCTATCTCACATGTGCACCTTATGTGTTTCTGAAGTTTCATGTTTTGAACTGTTTCCAGCTACGTCTTTTCTCATTATAAGAACAATTTTAACTATGGTCTAAGCTATCTAAGCTAATAGTGATGCAGATTTCTTATCCATTATAAACTAGATGTATTTTCTCTATTAGCTGATTTAAAAATTAAGTGATTCCATCAATTCAATTTCTTTAAATCTTTAGTCTATTTTATCTAACTACTTGATAAGTAGTAGTACTTACTACTACTTTTTCTCAATGTATATTTAGTTAGCCTAATTGTTTAGGGAGCAGTCCTGGACATTTCTAAAAAGCTTATTTTTACAAGTTTCAGTTGAGGCAAGTACCTCTGAAGTGCCCTATCAATTAAGAAGATTTTTAAAATTCAGATACCAATATAGAAATAAGGAATATTTTATATTAAATAAAATATAAATAAGTATATTGTTTATTTAACCCCATATAATACCCCACATAAGGGAATTTCAAACTAGATAAAATGACTAATGGCCCATAAATGAGCTAAAATAGAACTTTTATCTGCCTTTTGAAGGCAGGTAAAGAATTTAAGCAGCCATAATAAAAATATAATTTTTCATAGTGGATATTCAATATATTTTGATAAAAATAATGAAAACTAGAATTTCAGCAAAATTACATCTAACAGATTCTAATTAATTCTGTCTAGCACATGGAAAGCCCTAAAATAGTAAGTTTTGTAAAATTTATCATACTATCAAAACAATGTAACATTAGTTTCTCAGTCTTTTGCTTAAATCATTGCTGAAACTCCCTATATGTGACTATTATTAGTTATTGCAGAGGATTGGGATGTTAGGGGTTTATTACACCAGCAGTACTTGTGGCATAGCTCAAGGATTTTGAGATAAGAAGAAATAGGACACTGAGATTCATACAAGATGTTTAGAAACTCAAGTGCTTTCTTTTCAACCAAGGAGTGTTACAGGGAGTGTTATATTTTCGTATGGCTGACGCATTATTAGAGAAAACAAGAAAATTACAATCAAGCTTGTAATACAGCCTAACTAGTTGCCTGGTGTGATATTGTGATTTATAATTAAAAATTTATATTTGGTCTCCATCCCCCCTTCTGGCAGGGAGCTCCTAAAAACCTTGGAATTTCCTAAGTGAAGAGAGGGACAAAGGAACCTTTTGTTATGTTAATTAGGTTACTTTTTGACCACACCTACGGATGGGGGCTGGTTGCCAGGAGAACCAACCATGTGATAATAGGATGAAAAACTTTGGTCCCACCCCCCTGACCTCGGGGAAGGGAGAGGGGATGGAGATTGAATTCAATTACTAATGGGCAATGGCTTTATCAATCAATCATGCCTGTGTAATGAAGCCTCCACAAAAACCCAAAAAAGGAGCGGGTTTAGAGATCTTCCGGCTTGGTGAGCACTTGGAGGAGTGGGAGAGTGATGCTGGCTTAAAGGGGACATGGAACCTCCATGCCCTTTCCCCATGCCTTGCCCTATGCATCTCTTCCCTCTGGCTGTTCCTGAGTTATATCCTTTTATAATAAACTGATAATCTAGTAAGTAAAATGTTTCTCTGAATTCTGTAAGCTGCTCTAGCAAATTAATAGAACCCAAGGAGGGGGTCATGGGAAGTTCTGATTTACAGCCAGTATGTTAGAAGCACAGGTGACAACCTGGACTTGCCACTGGCGTCTGAAGCAGAGGGGAGGGGGCGGTCTCGTTAGGACTGAGCCCTTAACCTGTGGAATCTGATGCTACCTCCACATAGATAGTGCCAGAATTGAGATGATTTTAGGACACCCAGCTGGTGTCCGGAGAATTGGTGGTGTGTGGAAACCCCCCATCCCCCCTTCTCCCCCCCCAACACATACTGGCAGTGAGTACAGAATCCAAATTGGTGATCAGAACCTTTACCTGGCTTTGGATTAACTCAGGTGTAGAGTATTGTCTTGATTGTGCTGATTTAGTCAACCCTAGGATGCAGTCATGAGTGAGTCTAGAACATCTCAAGGAAAGATCTAGCCTTGAAAGATGGCTGTAGCGAACCCAGATTACTGTGTCTTTTGCTACAGCAGTGAATACAATGAATAAGTGAGATCCCATTGAACATTTCTGGTAAGGTTATGCCCCCTTCCCTATTTTTTTATTTTTTACTCTCTGTGTTCCCAAGATTCTTTCAACCCAGATTCTTGGTCCCCGTAAGAGTAAAAAGGCTCATATCAAGTTAATTTTGGCCTCGTCTTATCATTATGGCTAATTTCAAACTTAGCTTTATTTTTGCCCTCTTACTAAATTATATGTGATTTACCTTCCTAACTTAGTGGCATTCTCTTTCGTCTATTCATGGTATGTGTGCCTTTGGCATGATTCCTGTAATTGCTGGTATTCAAGGAGAGTTATAGCAAATGATTTCAGCATTACTAGGGAAGCAGGACAAGATTATGGTGGAAGGTAAAGGTTCCTCTCTCATAATTTTCATTTTTTCCTCTTTTCTGGCTATCCCAAGAATCTTGAGTAAGCTAGCTGATTAAGAGGGTAATACTTTGGTTAGTTGACCCATATTCAGGCATTGTGCCTAAGTATAAAGTAACAATTTACTTCTTTATAACTTAAAATCACTTAGCACATTTTAGTATTCGATAAATATTAATAATTATAGTCAACATTGACTCTCTGTTCTGCTCTCACTACTCCTGGGCCAGCCCAATCCTCCCGGGCCCTTGTTAAGCACAAGAAGAGCAAGAGATGCAGTAAGCAGTAGGCTGCTACAAGAGCTGCAATTCTCAGCTCAGAGTCTCTTTTCCCAGTCCAAGGTTCCTTCTGGCCAGTAGCACTAATGAGGAAAATAGGGAGAGAATGTGAAAATCTATTACAGTTACTGTAACATAAAAATAATTCTTTTAAAATTATAATTCTCTTTACTAAACAACTAGTGTCTCCAATCTCTTCTTAACCAGGCCAAACTGTTGCACCAGGAAACAGTATCTTCTGACCATGTGCTTAGATTTACTTTGTCTTGTTGTTCTAAGTGTTGTCTCTATCCCCCCACCATTATTTGCTATAACCTCCTCGAAATATAAGCTTTCTAATTACTTGGCCACTGCGGGTACTTTGAACAAATTTCCTTCCATTCCATTTCTATGTAACTTGTCTGGAATGTCAAGAGTATGGTTTCAATCCGGACAATTAAAAAAGGCTTGTATTAATAGGGAGGAACCAAAACTACCTGTGGTTTAGATACTTAATGATTTATTGGCTCCTCTCATTATAAATTTACCTTGTTACTTGCAATAGGCATGAACATATAATGTGTAGTTTCCTGTATGCCAGCATTTCTCAAAGTGGCCCAGAGATCTCTGGGAGGTTCCCAAGAGGCTTTCAGGGGGTCCATGAGGTCAAAACTATTGTCATAGTAATAAGATCTTATTCGCCTTTTTCACTCCCATTCTCTCATGAGTGTGCAGTGGAGATCACTCCAATTTAGCTTCAGGTGAGCGGTCAGATGTAGAGTATACCTATCTCAAAGGGGATTGTTCTTGATAAACTTCGAGAGGCTTCAATGTGTCATTTTGTCCCTACACACTAAGCGACCCTCCTAAGTGGTCCAAGCTCTACTTCAATTCTTTGTAGACATGTAAGAAGGGCTTCTCTTCTCAAAGGGACACAAAAAAATAACCACTTTTTGGTTCACTATT